TCATAGTCTATTCTATAGACTATTTCATAGTCTATTGTATAGACTATTTCATGGTCTATTCTATAGACTATTTCATGGTCTACTTCAAAGTCTATTCTATAGAGTCTATTTCATAGTTTATTCTATATAGACTATATCATAGTCTATTCATATAGACTATTTCATAGTCTATTCATATAGACTATTTCATAGTCTATACTATAGACTATTTCATAGTCTATACTATAGACTATTTCATAGTCTATACTATAGACTATTTCATAGTCTATACTACAAACTATTTCATAGTCTATTCAATAGACTATTTCATAGTCTACACTATAGACTATTTCATAGTCTATTCTACAGACTATTCCGTAGTCTATGCTATAGACTATTCCATAGTCTATTCTATAATCAATTCTATAGACTATTTCATTGCCATTTCAATAGACTATTCTTATTCCTAAGAAAGATAAAACAATTTAAAAATTACAAATTATCATGTCTGCTAAAGAAAGTCAACAAAAAATGAGAAGAGAGTATAAAAGTAATCAGGAGCATAAGGCGTTTAAGCAAATAATTAAAGGAATTGTGTCCTCATAGTATTTCAATGACGTCGCTGTCATCGTTATCTTCTATCATTTGTTTCGTTTATTTTGTTGGTAGTTATATTCTTACTCTTTTGTTTGTTGTAATGTAATTTAAAAATTGACATAACAGAAAATTTAGTTGACGTTATTTAATTTAGGAAAATATAACAATATTTTAAATGTTTTTATTAGGGTAAAAGGCAGTGAAATTATTAAACAGAAAGAGAGGGGAAAGAAGAATCATTATATTGCGAATACCTACATACATAGGTATAAAAAAGAAAATTTAATTTTAAAAAGGAAAATACCTATTTTGTGCTAAAAGGGAGACTTATTCATATGCGATTTTTTTAAATCTAATTTCACTTTTAAAAAAATTTTTCAAAAACATATTTTTCTAAGAAAAATAAATCTCTCAGAGGAATTTCTTAAATAAAAATCTCTTAAGAGTTGCTTATAGAAGTATTAATTTAAATAAAATGAATGTTAAGAGTCTTTAATCTTAAAAATTAAAATTTCTTTTTTTTAATTAAGAAATTGCAAGAAAATTCCTTAGAGAAGGAAAATGTTTAAAGGTGACAAAACCTATGACAACAAAAACTGTATATATTTTTTCATGTTTTGCACACACATGTAGGCACGCACGCACTTAAATACATATTGTTAAAAAAAATAACAAACAATAATAAAAATGAGCAAAGTCTCCACGTGATTATTTTATTTTGTATTTTTTTTAACAAAAACCTAATAAATAAAATGTGTTTTGTACAAAAATAACAAACATAAGTATTTATGTGAAAAAGTGATAAAACTAATGGAAAAACTAAATAAAGAGTAAAAATACAAAAAGGAGCTCAAATAAAATGAAATTAAGAATATACAGGAGAGAGAGAGAGGGAGTTTTGAACAATACACAACAATAACAATTGAAATGAAATGTAGTGAAAGAAATCATCACGTTACTTGACTTATCAATCATATAAAATTACAATAACAATGTAGGTATAGAGAAAAATATAACAATAATAAATAAGCAAAATAAGTACCTATTAAAGTAAATACATAAAATGAGAAAATGTCATAACAAAAATATAGTGTTTGGCTGTTCCTGTAATTACAATTAAAGCGTCAAAGATGCAACAGTTTTTTCCTCTATTGCAAACGGAACTTACGGTATTGTTTGCTGCTGCCTGTTAGGAATATTTAATGAATGTTTTGTGTGTTATAAAATTTTAGGGAGTGTAATAAAATTCAAGTGGTAAATGTTAAAGATAAGAACGAAATTTAAGGGTTGTACAATATGTCTATGCTGTGATAAGTTTGTATGATAAAATTTTACTTAAATTAAGGAAAATTGTTCCGATTTTATTAATATCATTCGGAAATAGGTATAAATTTATTTTTTGAAACTTAGACTAGAATACTAATCATATAACCTAACAGAAGCACACATATGGATAGTTCGTTATAAGATGAACTGCTTTGATATTTAAAGAAAATAAAGGAAAAATTAAAAATTTTCTTATAAACTAAATAAATTTGACAGAACCTTTCAAGATCCCTGGAAAATTTAGGGAAAAAGCCAGTTAGACTACACCAAAGTATTATACCTAGATCTATATTAAAATTCTACATTTGTAACAATAAGGCTCAATATCTTTTCAGAATGTTTTTTAAAATCTGGCTCGCTGCCGATTTTGATATTTAGGCAGTTTTTTTTATTGAAATTGAATAAATTAATTGAAAATCAATATGTCAAAAAAATTCTATTACTAGTTCTGAGTGTAGGTATTATGTTATTTAAATCTTTTAATATTTAACAATTCAATAATGTAAGCTATTGTTATTAAAATCTTAAAAAAGTATTACTGGTTTTAAATTTTTTAATTAAAAAAGCAACCACAAATACTGAAATATTTCATAATTATCATTTTTTCCAAAACAAGAACTTTACCAACAATTTAATTAACACACACAATCGTATTTGCCTACAGAATTAAAAAAAAAAACAAACATCAACAAATCACACATACACAAAAAATATTATAAAAAACGTGTAATTGTCAAAACGAGAACGGGAGACAGTGGGAAGGAGCTATGACAGGCCTGGAAAATAGATTTTTTTGAAATATGTACCTTTTAGCAAAATAGTAGATCTCTGGTAAAAGGCACTTTTACCAAATGAGTTTTTAGTCTATAGCCTAGTTTTTGGACGAGGCTATTGACTTTGCTATGGACTGACTATTGACTAGTCTATTGACTAGTCTATTGATTAGACTATTGACTAGTCCGTTGATTAGACCATTGACTAGTCTATTGTTAGACTTTTGAATAGTCTAAAGACTAGGCTGTTGTCTAGTCTAAAGACTAGGCTGTTGTCTAGTCTAAAGACTAGGCTGTTGTCTAGTCTAAAGACTAGGCTGTTATCTAGTCTAAAGACTAGGCTGTTGTCTAGTCTAAAGACTAGGCTATTGTCTAGTCTAAAGACTAGGCTATTGTCTAGTCCATAGACTAGACAATTGACTAATCTATAGACTAGGTTATTGACTAGTCTATAGACTAGACTACTGACTAGTCTATAGATCATTTTATAGTAGTTTGTAGGCTATGGAATATTGACAATTCTATAAACTAGACTATTGACTAGTCTATAAACTAGACTATTGACTAGTCCATAGACGAGACTATTGACTAGTCTATGTACTAGACTATTGACTAGTCTACAGACTAGACTATTGACTGGTCTACAGACTAGACTATTTCATCTATATACTATACTGTTGATTAAGTCTTTATACTAGACTATTGACTTGTCTATAGACTAGACTATTGACTTGTTTATAGACTAGACTATTGACTTGTCTATAGGCTGGACTATTGACTAGTCCATTGACTAGTATATAGAGTAGACCATTGACTATTGTCTAAAGACTAGTCTATAGACCACATTATTGACTAGTCTGTAGACCAGACTATTGACTTATCTATAGATTGAACTAGGTATTGACTAGTTTATGGATTATGCTAAAGAAAGTCAACGAAAAATGAGAAGAGAGTATAAAAGTAATCAGGAGCATAAGGCGTTTAAGCAAATAATTAAAGGACTTGTGTCCTCATAGTCTTTCAATGACGTCGCTGTCAACGTTATCTTCTATCATTTGTTTCGTTTATTTTGTTGGTAGTTATATTCTTACTCTTTTGTTGTTGTTGTAATGTAATTTAAAAATTGACATAACAGAAAATTTAGTTGACGTTATTTTAGCAATTTAATTTAGAAAAATATAGCAATATGTACTAGACTATTGACTAGTCTACAGACTAGACTATTGACTGGTCTACAGACTAGACTATTTCATCTATATACTATACTGTTGATTAAGTCTTTATACTAGACTATTGACTTGTCTATAGACTAGACTATTGACTTGTTTATAGACTAGACTATTGACTTGTCTATAGGCTGGACTATTGACTAGTCCATTGACTAGTATATAGACTAGACCATTGACTATTGTCTAAAGACTAGTCTATAGACCACATTATTGACTAGTCTGTAGACCAGACTATTGACTTATCTATAGATTGAACTAGGTATTGACTAGTTTATGGATTATGCTATTCACTAGTCTATTGATTAGTATATGGATGAGACTATTGACTAGTCTAGTAGACAATTCTCTAGTATATGTACTAGACTATTGATTCTATTGACTAGAGTATTGACTAATCCATGTACTAGGCTATTGTCTAGTATAATCGACTCGATTGTAGACTAGTCTATAGAATAAAGTATTGACTAGACTATGGATTAATGACAAGTCTATAGACTATTGATTAGAATAGGGATTAAACTATTGACTATTTATGGACATTATATGGAGTAAACTATTGACAAGTGTAGTATCTAGATCAGTCTATCGACTAATATATTGCAAAATTACAATTGTATTGAATTGTCCATGCCTGCAGCAATACAAATATATCTAACAAGAAAATAAAAACCAACAACAATAAGAGAAGAAAAATTATAAAATGTTTAACAAACAATTTTACATTAATATATTCTCTTTTGTTGTTGTTGTTGTTTTTAGCGGTTAAATAATAAGATAAATGCAAAAAAGCTCCACTACACATTGTAGAAAAATACAAAACAAAAAGGAAACAGTAAAAAATAAAAAAATAATAATATTATTGACAATACAAAACAGAGAACACAAAAAAAAAAGAAACAAATAAAAAACAATAAGAAAAAAACTGACTGCCTGCGTAAACAGTTTTTCTTTGCTCAGCAAAGAAGAGATTTTCTAAAAACAACAAAAACAACCAGAACAAGTGGAAATAAGAAACGACGATGATGATGATGATGAAAGAATAGTTAAAAGGAAAGAATTAGGTACTGACCATTATGGAAAAAATAAAAAAACTTACCTCAACTAAAATAGTTTTCTTTTTCAGCTTAAAATACTCCAAATACCGTTATTAATAATTTTTTACAATAATTTAGCACTTAAATTCTTAATTTTATTTCATGTACTTAAAATTTTTTCTATCTCTTCTTAAATTTACATATTCTTTCAATAATTAAGAAAAAAATAATTCACCATAAAAATTTTATAATCAGTAAATTTTTTAACAATTCATAATATTGTTTAATTAATATTTATGTTTTGTTTATTATTTCACTTCAATTTATTTCACTTAAATTCAAATTTATGTTTTTTTGGGGATTTTATTATATTTGCCCCCCTTAACAGAACAAGAAGCAATTGCGTTTGAATTATTTTCTTTTCTTTTGCAACACTTTTTTTTTTTTTGTTTATTTATAAAATTTTTCTCTTTTTTTCTTAAATTTTTTATTTCATTTCATATAATTTTTGAGTGTGCCTGAAAATCTGTACAGAAAATTTTGTGTAAACTTAAAAAACACAACAAAATTGTTTTTTCTCCCTCTGTTAAATTAGAAAAAAACGCGTTAACACGAAATTTTTTAACACGCACTGATGACGTCCATTTACGTTGAGCTCCAATTTTCTACTTGCTGTAGAAAAAAATTTCAACGTTTCTTTTGAATTGGTTTGACAACTTGTCACAACCGCCACCGCTTTCCAATTGGAAATTTGCTTTTACATATAGTTGTCTCTTTCTAACTGGTATTTAAAAGAGAAATGTCAAAATGAAAACAATAACAGGGTTGTATTTTAGACGAATTGTGTGGAATTATTTAGCTCATGTCTATATTAGACAAATATTTATTATGCTAAAAGTTAAATTATTATCATGCTAAAAAAATTAGCAGGTCCAGACGACATTTATTAGCGTTATAACGTTGTTATGACAGTGTTGTGTAAACAACTATTTAAACAATGTTGTCTTGATAACAAACGTCATTGTATTGTCAAATTTTTATAGAATTTTGTTTTTGTGCAATTAAAACTGATTTTTAACATAAATTATGTTAAATATGTTCAGAAAATGTCTAACAATCGTGCTAATTAACATTATTTGAATCTGACAATGGAATCACTGTCATTTAACTGTTTTCTATTGGCAACACAGTGCATTAAAAGAACAAATGCAGCTAAGATCTGCCAACTTTTGACATAGAACAATCTAACAACAGTGTGAACTGACAATTTTTGTTGGCAGATAAATTTATTGTCTGACAATTGTATGGTAATGAAATTGTAAGGTTTTCTTAGAACTAGGGTTCTATAAATCGACTTTCGAATAATCGAACAATCGACTTTTTGTCGAAAAAAGTCGAAGTCGATTATTTTGTTCCAAAAAGTCGATAACTCGACTATCGTCTGTGAAAAAGGTCGAAAAGTCGACTTTGTTAATAAAAGTCAAAAAAAAAGTCGAAAAGTCTGAAAGTCGAAAAAAGTCGATAAGTCGAAGAAAGTCGAAAAAAGTCGAAAAAAGTCGGAAAAGGTCGAAAAGTCGGAAAAAGTCGAAAACTCGAATATTGTAGAAAAAAGTCAAAAATAGTCGAAAATTTAAAAAAAGTGGAAAAAAATGTCAAAAACTCTAAAATAGTCGGAGAAACTTGAAAAAAGTCAAAAATAGTCGAAAAAAAGTCGAAAATAGTCAAAAAGTCGAAAAAAAATCGATAAGTCGGAAAAAGTCGAAAAAAAGTCGAAAAGTTGACTATTTATAAAATACTTATAGTCGAAAAATTTAAAAGTTGACTTTTAATTAAACGAAAAAAGTCGAAAAATCGACTTTTCATAAAATGCAAAAAGTTGAAAAGTCGACTTTTAATTAAATGAAAAAAGTCGACTTTTCGTTTCAACTATAGAACCCTACCTCTGAACTGACAATTTACCTTTTGCTAACAATTTTTCATTGTCAGAACTGCCAACGTTGTAAGAAGAAAGTCGAAATAAGCCGGAAAAAAGTTGAAAAGTAGAAAAAAGTTAAGAAAAACTGTAAAAAATTCGAAAAGTCGACTCCTTATAAAACATAAAATTCGAAAAGTCAACTCTTCATAAAACGAAAAGAGTCTCAAGTCGACTTTTCACATAACGCAAAAAGTTGATAAATCGACCTTTCAAAAATACAAACGTCGACTTTTCGTTTCCAGTATAGAACCCTAGTTTATAATCGTAAAGGATTTTCTTTACTTTTGCACAATTTATTTATATCTAAAATATAAAATATATAATTTAGACTAATTTTAAATAGGTATTGATGGAAATGGTGTAAATTACCCTATAATTTGTTACTTTTTGAAAATAGCCGCTTTTTAAAACTACAACTACTTATATTTACAACCATGCAACAAAACTCTCCACAGAAATACAACTCTGTCACTTAACCTTCTTCTTCAAAATATTCTCCACTCTCATTTATTTTATTCTTATTCATTTTACACACATTCGCTTAACGAAGTTAAAAACGCGTGAAACGTTTATTTGACCATCAGACGACTTCGTGCGAATTTTTATTTAATTTTTTCAGTTTAATTGCACAAAAATATACATAAATTAGAAAAAACCAAAACGGGTAGGAATAGAAACGTGTTTTAAAGCAAAAAAAACTTAAAACAAAACCAGCCACTAAAGAAAAATTTCACAAAACCAACAAGCAAATAGACACAGCTGTGGTTTAAAAGAAAAAACGAAAAGGAAAAAAACTTAGTGCAACAACAATAAAGAAAAAAAAATTCTAAAAGAATAGATTTTTTCCTGCTTTTGGAATAAAGAATTTTAGAAAAGACGAAAGAAAAAAAAACGTGTTTAAAATTTTATTTAGTTACTATTTTTGGCAAAGAAATTTGTGAGATTTTTGCTTTAGTGGTATTTTAATAACAAAACGCAAATTATTATTTGTTAAACAAAGAAAATTTTAACTAAATTTAACAAATTCCTTAAAAGCTTGTTAATTTGTTTGTGTTTGTTCATCGTGTGTTTCTTTTTTTATTGACTGCTGCCTATACATACAACATATATTTGTCGTTTATTAAAAAAAAAAATTAAAACAACATTTTGATAAATTTCATGGAAGACGTCATTGTTTTAAGCAGCGATAGCGAATCATCTTCGAGCCCTACATCAGAAATGGAAGTGGAACCCGTTGAAATTGAAAATACCAGCGAAACCATTGTGCCCAAGGACAATGCAACGTAAGTTTTATAAGATAAATTATAAAGGAATGTTGTTTTCTTTAAAGGTTTTAAAAATTCTTATTAGAAAAATTTTCTAATTTGTATGTTTTGGAGAGTAGGGGAAAGTAAAAACATTATTATTTTAGTTATAAGTAGTTTTGTTGTTTTTTTTTTTATTTCTTGGCTGTTTTACATAATCTTCAATTCTCTCTACTTATGTTTTTGTTCTTCTTTTACATGTTTTCTATTATGTATTTATGTTTTCTGAGAAAAAACAGTTATTTTTGAAAAATGACCTTAAAAAACAACAAATATATGTATGAGAAATTTAATATGTAAGAATGTGTGTAGAAAAAAAACATTGCAATTTTCAAGTTTTTGCTGAAATTTTATTTTATGTTTTTTTTTATAGTATTATTAAGTGTTTTTTGTTTTTATTTACTTATTTTTTTGTACAACAACATAATTTGTTAAACAACCCTGACTTAAACTACACAAATAAAGTATTTTTTCTCCCACATGTGTTTGGGGCTTAAGGTTGCCATAGTATTTTTTTAAAAGAAAACGTTAAAGAGAAGATTTATAAAAAGTTGCATTTTCATATATTAAATATAATTATAATAAACTGAAACCATATGATAGTCTTTTTTTCTCTGAGAAGAGTAGAGTGATCGGAAAACTTTATTTCCCCCCGAAATTCAACAGTGTCATCGACAACAACATCGTTATCTTTATGCGCCACTACTCGGCCTTCTCCCCTGCAATCGCAAAGACAACAATTACCCTCGATTGCACTACGTCTACCTGAGAAGATATTCATATTGCAACCACCTCCCATAGCAGATACGATTTCTTTCGTCATTTTAATTGCTAGACAATAATGTCAATGCCATGTCGAAAATGATGAAAGACATAATAATGCTGGGAATGAAAACATTCATTCTGATAAAAAATCATCGATTAGACCTAGCGGAGGTAAAATCTTCTAGTCATTTGTTAAAAGGCCAAAAATTCACTGACCTGATTGATAAGTGTAACGTTTTAGCTGAATTGTTTGCCAGCAACTCTTGCTTGCCGGAAAGCAATCAACCACTGCCTGAGTAGGGTTCTATAAATCGACTTTCGAATAATTGAACAATCGACTTTTTGTCGAAAAAAGTCGAAAAGTCCAAGTCGACTATTTTGTTCCAAAAAAGTCGATAACTCGACTATCGTCTATGAAAAAAGTCGAAAAGTCGACTTTGTAAATAAAAGTCGAAAAAAGTCGAAAAGTCAAAAAATCGGAAAGTCGAAAAAAGTCGAAAAGTCGAAAAAAGTCGAAAAAAGTCGAAGAAAGTCGAAAAAAGTCGAAAAATGTCGAAAAGTCGAAAAATGTCGAAAAGTCGAAAAGAGTCGAAAATTTTAAAAAAGTGGAAAAGAGGTCAAAAACTCTAAAATAGTCGGAAAAACTCGAAAAAAAGTAAAAAAATAGTCGAAAAAAAAAGTCTAAATAAATCGAAAATAGTCAAAAAGTCGTAAAAAATCAATAAGTCGAAAAGTCGGAAAAAGTCGAAAAGTCGGAAAAAGTCGAAAAAAGTCGAAAAGTCGAAAAAAGTCGGAAAAAGTCGAAAAGTCGACCATTTATAAAATACTAAAAGTCGAAAAGTCTAAAAGTCGACTTTTAAATAAATGAAAAAGGTCGAAAAGTCGAAAAAATCGACTTTTCATAAAATGGAAAAAGTCGAAAGGTCGAAAAGTCGACTTTTAACTAAATGCAAAAAGTCGAAAAGTCGACTTTTTGTTTCAACTATAGAACCCTATGCCTGAGCTTGATTGGGCACTAGTAACTATGCCAAACACATTCTTTCGAGTTCGTACAGTTAAATGGGTATTAGCGGATCTTAACATAAATAAGTCTCCTGTGCCAGATGGCATTCCAGCACTGGTCTTGAAACAGTGCTCTACGACGCTAGCTTGCCCATTAGACAATATTTTTAACACTTTACCATGTCGGTGAGTTCCCTGCAAGCTGGAAGATTGCTAATTTTACATCAATCATCAAAAAGAGAGGCTAATAATCTTGAAAATTATCGCCGAATTGCAATTTCCTCCATGGCTTTCGTAGCGGCCGTTCTATGGAAGATTTACTAACTTTTCTCTAGACAAATTGTGCAATTCCATTTACCATTATGGCGAAAGTAAAGTGGTGGCTCTAGATATTTCCAAGGCGTTTGATAGGCTGTGATATGGTGCACTCTTATCAAAACTAACTGCTTTTGATGTCGGTAACTACTTCTCTTCGATTTATATGGAGCTTTCTCAGAGATAACTCTATACGAGTTGTTATAGATGGGATCTCATTAAACGGGTTCAAGATAAATTTAGGGTTACCTCTTGGCTCGGTTCTTTTTCCCACTATATTCCTTATCTTTCTATATGATCTATGTTAAACTTCCAACCCTTTCTACTCGCTTGCAGATGATAGCAACATTTTCCATTCATTCAATTATAGGCCAAGTCCCTCGGAGTTTGAATGACTCACTTAATCTCAAGATCTAGTGACAATCACGTCAGATCAGATTGCTTCATCTCATATTTATGGGTGTCGTGTCAATATTAAGGAGTCAGAAGCTCTTGATGTTCTGTACATAAGAATACAATGTCGAAAGAAGCATTAAAGTGTCTCGGACCTCTTTACTATCTACATCACTTACAGTGGTGGCTACGATTTTAGCACACTTGGTATATGTTGCCTATAACATAAAATATTTCCTATAGTTCTTAACTTTTTTAACAAATTATTTTTTATGCGTAACACATGTCCTTCGATGATCACGACACATTACATTTTGTTCCACTACTTTGTTGCATATAGATTTTTTTCTTTCCAAAGTACATCTACCCCCAAAAAAATATGGACATAAATTTAGCACAAAATTAAAAAATCATTAAAAAATTAAAAATAAAACAAAACAACCGGCTATATTTATCTTATTGCACTTAAAATTTTATATTTTGTAGAATAGTTGCAGATTTTGATAATATCATTTCTCCTCCTGGACATAATCTTCACCAGAACCCTCTAGAAATTTCATGACATAAATATTAACTTTCAGCCCATAAATTGGCAAAATTCTTGGTGATTTCTGCTTTTATTTGTTGGTCCATATCATGTTATATGTTCTCTATTGAATTGGAATCGAGAAAATATACTGGGCACTGCACACATGACAATCCCGCTCGCTTCCAAGCAGCTCATCTCAGCACTTTTAGCATATTTACGGTCGATGTCGACCAAAAAACGCCATCTTTGTCCTCCGATTTTTTTTAATAAAGTATTTAAGATCCTATTTTGATAGTCATACGGATCCATTTCTGCATCCAACATCAATATAGGACCAACAGCACGCCAAGAAAATGCAATGAATACCATGAAATTTCCCCCTATTGTGATATATGATTTCTCTGGAACACTTTAGCTTTATCTGCATGATTGGAGGATACTAGTTGAAGATTATTAGGATCAAATTTGATGGAAAAATGTAATTATGCTGTACTCCAAACATGCAGCAACAACCAAAGTGTACATTTAAAACCATAAAACACAATGGGTGAAATATGACGAATTCGGAGGCGTTTTCCGGGCGTAGTGGAGGTTTTATACGCAAGGTGGATGCACAAATGGATCAGTATGACTATCAAAATAGACTGTTAAATATTTTAGTAAAAAAATTAGTGGACAAAAGTTCAGTTAAATGGCGTTTTTTGGTCGACAATGACCCAAAATATGTTAAAAGTACAGAGAGGAGCTTCTTGGAAGCGAGCGAGATTGACATGTTTGCAGCGCCCAGAATAATTTCTAGATCCCAATCCAATAGGGAACATATTAAACGAAATGGTGCAACAAATAAAACACAAATTCCTAAGAATTTTGCCTATTTATGGGCTGAAAGTTAAAATTTATGTCATGAAATTTCTAGTGTGTACTGGTGAAGATTATGTCCAGGAGAAGAAATTATGTTATCAAAATGTGCAACTATTCTACAAAATATAAAATTTTAAGTGCAATTACATAAATTTATCCGGTTTCTTTGCTTTATTTTTAATTTTTTAATGATTTTTTTATTTTGTGCTAAACTTATGTCCAGATTTTTTTGGGGGTAGATGTACTTTGGAAAGAAAAAAATCTATATGCAACAAAGTAGTGGAACAAAATGTAATGTGTCGTGATCCTCGAAGGACATGTGTTACGCATAAAAAAGAATTTGTTAAAAAAGTTAAGAACTATAGGAAATATTTGATTTTATATTTAACAGATACCAAATGTGCTAACCTCATGGCCGCCACTGTATATCCTGCCAAAAATGGAATATAACTGTCATGTATGGGCCTGCTACTATGGGGCTAAACGATCACGTACAGAAGACGGCGAAGGTATTTCTCGATGACAGTAGGGTATGCAATTCTATTGCTTCACTGGAGCACTGTCACAATGTGGGAAGCGCTTCACGATTCTATCAATACTACAATGGAATGTGTTCTTCTGCAATTAGGGAACTTGTTATCGAAACCCCCATATTTACACATAACACACGTAGTCGATTGACCAGTCGATCGTACAATGCACTACAGAGAGTATTCGTTCTTTAGTCGTACTGTCCGTCCACCAGAAATTGTTGTTGTAACCGATTGGCTGTGACTGGATGTTCTTCCCTGGGGGAAAAATTGATTGATGCAGCTGTTGCTGAGTTCACAATCTTTGGCCGTTTAAGAACAGTTGTTCCCCCAGAAGACTTTCCTGTCACTTGCAATGTGGGTAGGTTTAAAGCGAATGTCCACAAACATTCTCCATCCCATAACCTAGTAGAGGTCATACTCT